TAATAAAAATCAGTTTGTTTGTTTTGGTCTTTTTTTTTGGTAGGCCAACTGGTCACAACGCTTACCTTAGAAACTAAACATAAAAACGTGAATTGAATCATATATGCTCAATGTTACTTATTTTTAATAATCGAAGATTCGGGGGTGTATAGTTTTTGTCGTGCCTGTCTGTCTGTTTGAAAAACTTTAACCTTGCCTATAATTTTTGATTTAGTGGAGCTATGATTTTCATATTTCACATGTGTTTCCTTGTGACAAAACCTTTCTTTGGGTACCACAAAATCTGACCATGACCTTGGAGTTTGACACATTTTAAAACAAAAATTCGAAACTTTTACTTTGGCCATAACGTAGATACTAGGACTTTCATACTTCACATACATGTATGTATTTTTTGTGACAAGCCCCTTTCATTGAATTGCAACAATTTTACCTTGTCCTTGCAGATTTACATGTACGTACTTTTTAAAGACTTTAACCACTTAAACCTCGGCCATAACTTTTGAACGGTAAGGGCAAAGATTTCATACTTCACATATATGTAATCCTTGTGAGAAGACCTTTCATTGGATACCAAGAACTTTCACCCTTTAATCTTGGCCTTAGAGTTTGACCTACTTTTTAAAAACAATTCTTGACCATGACTTTTGACAGGTTAGGACTATCATATTTCACATATCTCATACCTGTGACAAGATCATTGGATATACCAAGAACTTTAACCCTTTGACCTTGGAGTTTGACCTACTTGTTAAAATCTTTAACCTTGGCCATTACTTTAAAAGGGTTGGGGCTAAGGGTTTCATACTTTACATATGTAATCCTTGTGATGTGACAAGATCTTACTTTAGCAACCAACAACTTTGACCTTGACCCTGGGGTTTGACCAACCTTTCAAAAACTTATCCTTGGCCAAAACTTTTGAACAGGTGGTGTTAGCATATGGTTTTCATATTTCAAAATTGTATTGTATTAGATCTAATTTTGGGTACCAACATATTTGCTTCTAAGAAAAGATTAATCATCGCTTGTTGCCATACAGAGACATCGGTGTTTCTTGTTTTTATAAATAAATATATGTAATAACCCCGTACGTTAATATTTATAGTAGGTACATGTACAAGTATGTATCTGTGAAAATTCAAGTTTGTTCAAATCAAATACATTTGACGTTACCTATTATATTTATTTTTTCCACCTCTAGATCCCAACTCTTTGTTGTCGTCTTTACAGGCAATAAACTCGCTTGATTTGAATTTTTTGCAATCCAACAGCAAATTCGAGTTTGACGACTATGAAGGGTTGGGAGGTGAATAAAATATCATATTGGTTAAAGAAAATGTATAGAAAGTGTAGTTGCTGGAAAGTATATTAAAATTCTCCCCAAAAGTGCGCTGCAAATGCACATTTTTGCATTACGGGATCTGCAGCGTTATGGAAAAAGCCTAAAATATAAAACTATAACGCTACAGTATTTTATTCATTTCTCGTTCTTTATAAAGAGTATATCATATTGCTAAAATTTTAGAATTTAAAGATTTTAGACCATACAACAAATATATACTCTGTTCATTGTATTATAACCCTGACCTGTTGTATAGAGAGGGTATTTATAGGCTTAAGCCTGTTGCCCAATCTATTCAGTTTACTGAATAAATATTGTTTAAATCAACAAATAACACAAGACTTATTCTTCCTTGTTCTTTGACAATGCTAAATAAGAACAATTTATTTCTACGATCCCCTTTTCGTAAGCATTTGGTGTCTAAATCTTTTCATCGTTGAAGCTAACGAGTCATATTTAAAAGTAATAAAAATATATATTCTATATGGGATTAATTCGTGATTTAATGGACTGCACTATGAAGATGGTCTCATTCAGAATCAGCTAAATGATAAACCTCAATAGAATTTACTCCAATGTAATTTATTCTAAAGCTTTGCCGATTCCGACGAATTAGTGCGTTTCTATCAGACCGTTATTGGTTGCAATAATCAAACCCACTCTTCAACTTCATCACGATAACTTTGAAGTCAGAAATTATTAATCAATTCGAAAAACAAATGAAACTCCTGATAAACGACTTTAACTATAACCCAGAAGTCCTAAACGATCTCTTTCATTGCATAATAAACAGAAGAGATACAGTACAGCTCTTTTATTATAATTTCTCAGAACTTTGTTGAAAGACTATTCTTTGAGATAAACAAATCTATCTTTTTCAGCTATGGGTCATCAAAATGTATTGTCAGAATTTTCCTTTGAATTTGTGGTTTATGTAATAAAGACTTATGTAATTATAATGCCAATTTCTTGATCTGATTTTTTTGTTCATTAATTTAATTTGCAGAATACGTTTGTCTTAAACATGTAATGAACTTTTGTAGCTTATTTTTATACAATTATAGCCTTTTGATGAGGTCAATCCCTCGATATATAGACCTTAGGGAAAGCATATCGACCGAGCACGAAGTGCGAGGTCGATATGCTTTCTCTAAGGTCTATATATCGAGGAATTGTACAGAATCAAAAGGCTACAATTGTTTTATTATTTTTAATCAGTTATTAAGAAATGTCTTAAAATTCTTCTTTACACATGTAATACTCAGTATCTTCTCATACAAGGCATTGTTATGTCATTGCATTATGACGTCACAGTAATGAAAACCAGCTGCAGTATCTGTTTTTAGAAACATCCAGTCTATAAAGACTATTGTGACGTCAGTACTATTGTTTTTTCACAATAGAACATTTCCAATTTTAGAAACAGCAGGTTTATAAATTTTTAAAATAGAAACATCCAGTCTGTAACACTTTTTATACTTGATCATGTGATCCAGTTTGAGCCAATCAGATAGTTGGAACAATAAAGAAAAATAATAAAACGTTTTATTATATGACTGTGTAGTAGCCTTTTTATCAGCAATCATTAAATGTGAATATACGTCATTACACGCACGTTTGAATATTAAAATCGCCGGACATCGATACATAAGGGTTTATTTCAAATTTACAAAGGGCAGGCTACTTAGAGGGCAATTTAAAAGCCTTTTACAGCTGTTTTATTTTATCTAGCCGTACTGAATATTTTATTATTTTCAAATTGTCAATGATTGGACACCGAGAAAAGCCTGATATGGTTATATCTGAGGCAAATGCGATTTAAAATTAAGTAAAACACAGATTTTATAGTCTGCTGTCCAGTGCTGACTTTTTAATTTCAAAGATTTTAAATAATCATTCAGAAAAGACCATGAAAAACATCATTTCTGTACCACACGACTATTGAAAGGAGATGGGTGAATGAGGTCTGCAGTGTGACAAACATGAAGGTGAAAATTAAATCTCATTGTAACAAAATTTTCATTTGGTTATTTACCTAATATGAAAGAATACTGTATGTAAGATCTCCAAAATTTGCAAAAATTTCATAAAAATTGAAATTATTTGATCAAGGCATAGAGAAGAGGTGTGCCTAGGACACAACAATCATTTATAGTGATCCAGAGACTACCAAATAAACTGATAGATGAAGCTATGTTGCCCAAAAGCAAGAGAAATAAGATGCTCAGGATCATCAAAATAATAAATCTAGTATATAAACATGAATCACCTTCTACATCCTTCAGGGATATTTTGAACATTTTGCTTTGTGCAAAAGATGGTCAAATTCCTCGTGGTTTTGGAGACCTGTCTAAATGTACAAAAATGCTGACCAGACCAATAGTAAACAACACCAATAACAATACTTTCTACTAAACTATAACATGTGTAAGGGTTGTTCTCATATTTCTTTTGTTCAGATCTAGTTCTTGCTAATTAAAAGTATGGGCCTTCCTAAATACAGAATCTAGGTCTCAACACAGATCACGTAGTGACAAAAATATAACAGAAACACTACAATGTACTGCAAAATCAAATTATCTTGAGGTCATAAATTATTGATTCAGCATAAAAAGTATAATAGAGTATGTTGGGATTTTATATTATTAATATTGAAAAATTAAATTTTTGCAGATGGCAAATTCATAGGTCTCTTGAAACTATGCATGAACAATGAAACTAAAATCACCTCAAAATAATTTTCACAGACCATATTTTTACTAAAGCACACATCTCAGACAAAATAAATCTTTCATTTTTTATTTCATTAATACATGTACATGCAATTTGCTAAAAACAAGTCTCACCATTAAACACATGAACTTGGACGAGCGTTTGACATTATAATCATCAAAGTTCTTATTTAAATAATCCCACTACTTTTGAGAAAAAAATGAATTTAAAAAAACTTCTTTTAAGATATTTTAGTACTCTTACGGTCAGGATTTTTCTATTGAGAAAAAGAGAATAAAAATTATTGTATAAAGATATATAGTAACATATTCTTTCAATATTTCTTACCATGAAGCTTTTGAACATTTAAACTCTATAAATGCTCTATCTGCATTCACAAAAATACTAAACAAAAAAACATTCTAAAGATTTTTATCTCTTTATTCCCCCATTCAATATATATATTTAATGGTGGTTTTATATTTGATAAAACAAGTTTTCAATTTCCATTTAATTTGTCAACATTCTGATTTGCAGAGGAAAACACATTATTACATGTATATTGTGATTTGAAATATGAAAATGGAAAATATCAAAATGAAATTTCAATAGAGACAAAAAAGAAAATAAAAACTACCAGCATTGTAAAATCAATGAATGTAAAACTGGGGTACTGATATTTACACATTTTAGTAACAATAAAACATTGCAAGGTTGGATGGTAAGAAATAATTTATATGAATTGTTAATTTACCCAACAACTGATGATGATGAACTACATTGTCCTGAACTCTATGAGCCCCATTTTCTGACATTTAATGTATAATGTTTGTAATTCACTTTTCCTCTGATTGCTGATATTTTTAGCACCAAACAATGCAACAATCCATCTCCTGCTTGTACCGCGCCCCATGCTGTGTTCATCCAATTTTTAAATTTTAGAACATTGATGTTTCCTTGGTTTGTTTATGCCACAAATATCAATTAAAGGTGTTTAATTTATCAATTAATCTGTTAATTGCCATCAGTAAATGAGACTGTCAGCATTTGCTGATCTTGGTTTCTTGATTTTGTCGATATTCTTCAACACCAGGTCGTGTAGGCTTGCCTAAGATAAACAAGAACAGGTTAGAGACAAAAGAGTTATATACTGTATAATTATGTATAAATTTTACTTAATGATAATAGTACACTTAAAACATTATTTATCCTTAGCTGAAGATCTGTAGCTCTCTGGTCTGAAAAAAACCCAGTAGTCTCTGTCGAGACTGAAGCTCTACTGGTTTGTACTTATAGCAAAGGAAGAGAAAAGTACTTAAGCCATGTTAAGCAGTTGGGAATTGAAACTTTTCAACAGCAATAAATAGAATAATGATCCTTGATTAAGTCTCTTTATGTTCTTAGTGTAGTCTACTTGCATGCCACATTATATTATAATCAGACTAAAACTTGTATTTGGAGTAGCATTTTGAGAGTATTTAACAGAAATTTCTATTTTTAGTAACCGTGGCAACACTGTTCATTGAAGTGAAAAACTGATACACAGAATTATGTACCTTAGTGTAGTCTACTTGTGTGCCAAATTTTATTGAAATCAGACCAAAACTGTAGGAGGTGTAGCATTTTGAAAGAATTTCACAGAAATTTCTATTTTTAGTAACCATAGCAACACCGTTCATCGAAATCAAAAACCGATATACAGAATTATGTATCTTAGTGTAGTCTACTTGTGTGCCAATTTATATTGAAATCAGACCAAAACGGTAGGAGGAGTAGCATTTTGAAAGAATTTCAAAGAAATTTCTATTTTTAGTAACCATGGCAACACCTTTCATCAAAATCAAAAACCGATACACAGAATTATGTATCTTAGTTTAGTCTACTTGTGTGCCAAGTTATTTAAACAATAAAATGCTTTCTTTGTTTGTTGTTACTGGAATGAACGGAAGCAGCTGTCGCAGAAAAAATACATAACCCGCATAAGCTGGTTATGTAAATTTTTTCTGCAATAGCTGGGACCGTTCATTCCAGTAATAACAAAAAAAGAAAGACATTTTATTGTTTATATTTATATCTGTTTAAATTATCATTTAAAGTAGGATTAAAAATATTAAGTATCGTGTTAATGATGCGAACGTCTTTGTACGTTTCATTGATGGAACGGCCACTGATCAAGAAATCTGTACAGGTGGTATGCCTAATGTAGTTCATGCAGTGATGAACGCAATGGGTTTTCTTAGGAAATAAAGAAGAAAATATTCAGTGGATGTAAATATATTGAAATAAAACCAAAACTGTAGGAGGAGTAGCATTTTGAAAGAATTTCACAGAAATTTCTATTTTTAGTAACCACGGCAACACCATTCATTGAAATCAAAAACCGATACACAGAATTATGTATCTTGGTGTAGTCTACCTGTGTGCCAAGTTATACTGAAATCACACTAAAACTGTAGGAGGTGTAGCATTTTGAAAAATTGTTTACAGACAGACAGACGGACGGATGATGGACACATTACTATCGCATAAGCTCTTCTGGTCTCTGACCAGTAGAGCTAAAAATTGGGATGGACAACCAGAGGACTACATTGAAAAAAGTGTATATATTTATTACGCACAAAAAGTAGGCTGTTTCTCAATTTTTTTTTTTTCACTTTATATTTCAAAATATTTATAAATGTGTTTCTAGCATATTCTTTTACTACTTCTGCAACAAAACTGCATTGTACAAGTTTAGATTGACTGAGTTATCTTCCCACCTTTAATATATAGCAGTATATATATACGCGAAATTTTTAATGGTCTCAAATTCAGGCCTTGTTTTGGGAAATGTTTTTTGTGTAAGTAAAAAAAAAAAACACCCTAGAAACACACAGTAATATTTTGAAATGGCAGCATAAATATAAGAGAAATAAATTGAGAAAACAACACATTTTTTTTAATACGTAATAAATACACACTTCTATCAATAGTTGGCGCTGTAGTTCTCTGGTTGTCCATCCATATTTTTTTTGCAGACCAGAGAGCTACAGATCTGCAGCTATTTGCTGGATACTTACGTAGTGGTTGCGGACTTCACAGCAGATGAGGCGCAGACTGACGTATTCTTTCTCATCTAATTCCCTCACCGCTTGTCTGTAGTCATCCTGTGATTTAAAACAAATCATTATCAGGATGTATGGAAATTGTTAAAAATCATATTATTCTTCCACATAAATGTTTAGTGAAACAATGTACAATTTGTACCGATCTTACTCTAACTATATTGATGTTAAAAACCATACTCCAAACTCTGCATTTTTTCCCAAAGACAGAATTGAATATTAGAGACAGCTAGAATACTTTTTTCTTAAAGAGAACTTGATCAAATGATTGTGGGTCAAAGGCATAATGTACACTTTTTCCCCAGTGACCTTGTAAATATTGCTGGAATGACGTTTGGTCAAAAATCAAGACACACTTTGGAACATAAGCAACCTTTGTGCTAGGAACAAGCTTCCAATGTTTCTCCTTTACATGATCTGGTCAGAATAGGAATTATCCATTTTTTAAATTGACCCTGAACTTAACAAAATGACCATAGTATGAGCTGTGAAAAGAATGGAAGGGATATGAACTTTATAAAGTTTGGGGGTACATTTAAGATCATCGTCGGAAACCCACCGGTGATCTCGTCTTTACTTATCACTGGTGGGCAAACTCACCGAAATATCACCGTAAAATATGCTAATTTGTTGTGTTTAGTCAACCAATCAGAAAGTTCGACCTCTTCAATTTTGAAGAATACGTTTATTACTTTGCTATTTGTGGTAAATATTTTGACGCCCTTTAAAACGTACAAAGTTTGATTTAAAACAATGAAAGTCAATTCGTACAGGTCACTGACATAAATATCCGTCAGATATTACCGTATATCCGGTTTTTTTCGCGATGATCTATTTTTCGCATTTTTTGTGACCATTTTTAATTCGCAAAATATAAAACACGCAGAAAAAATGTCAGCTATAATGTGACATAAAAACAATAACATTTTAAACAAAAAAAATCTTCAATTGTAAAACATAGGTAATCAGAGATTACAGAGCTCACCTCAACGAATGTTGTCTTTAAGTAAGGCAAAGTCACACAATTAACCAACAAAAAGTATACATTCCAAAAATGAAAATATTTTTATAAGCAATTTTGATCCGATACTTTGAAATAGACCTACATAAAAAATTTAAACTACTTCTTCTTCATGAAAATGTAATGAAAATCCAGCATCTGAAGCAAATTTGAGAGTTTTCATCTCTTGATGCAGCATTTGTGCAAGTTTGGTTTATACAATGTTATATAAGCCTTATATTTTTTGGTAATAGACCTGCAACCATAACTTTTACCTTGTCTATTATCTTAAAAATGTATGTCCAATTCAGCATCCGAAGCAAGTCCATTAGTGTGCATCCTTAGATGTATCATCCGTGCAAGTTTGCTCATTATAGAGCTCATAGTTTATTAGAAATGAAACATGCATCAAAACTAACATTTTCACTCATCCACAAAAAGTAGGTCAGATTCAGCATCCGAAGCAAGCCTGGAAGTATGCATCCTTAGATGTATCATCTATGCAAGACTGGTCATTAAAGAACTCATAGTTCCTTGGAAATGAAACCTGCACCAAAAACTTTTAACTATTCACTCAACCGGAAAATGTAGGTCAGATTCAGCATCCGAAGCAAGCCTGGTAGTGTGCATCCTAAGATGTATCATCCATGCAAGTTTGGTCAACATAGGGCTTAAAGTTACTTGCAAATGAAACCTGCACCAAAAACATTAACCTGTTCGCTCAACTGGAAAATGTAGGTCAGATTCAGCATCCGAAGCAAGACCGGTAGTATGCATCCTTAGATGTATCATCCATGCAAGTTTGGTCAACATATGGCTTATAGTTACTTGGAAATGAAACCTGCACCAAAAACTTTAACCTGTTCACTCAACCGGAAAATGTAGGTCAGATTCAGCATCCGAAGCAAGCCCGGTAGTATGCATCCTTAGATGTATCATCCATGCAAGTTTGGTCAACATAGGGCTTATAGTTACTTGGAAATGAAACCTACACCAAAAACTTTAACCTGTTCACTCAACCGGAAAATGTAGGTCAGATTCAGCATCCGAAGCAAGCCCGGTAGTATGCATCCTTAGATGTATCATCCATGCAAGTTTGGTCAACATAGGGCTTATAGTTACTTGGAAATGAAACCTGCACCAACAACTTTAACCTGTTCACTCAACCGGAAAATGTAGGTCAGATTCAGCATCCGAAGCAAGCCCGGTAGTATGCATCCTTAGATGTATCATCCATGCAAGTTTGGTCAACATAGGGCTTATAGTTACTTGGAAATGAAACCTACACCGAAAACTTTAACCTGTTCACTCAACCGGAAAATGTAGGTCAGATTCAGCATCCGAAGCAAGCCCGGTAGTATGCATCCTTAGATGTATCATCCATGCAAGTTTGGTCAACATAGGGCTTATAGTTACTTGGAAATGAAACCTACACCGAAAACTTTAACCTGTTCACTCAACGGGACGCCGACGCCGACGCCGACACCGACACCGACGCCGAGGGTATTACATAAGCTCCCCCAACTTCGTTGAGGTGAGCTAAAAATAACTTACCCAAAATAAAAACTGTACTAATCTACCCCTTTTTCGCAAAATTTCCAACACGCGAAAAAAAACGGATATACGGTATATAGGAGTACCTCTTTCTAACTTCAAAATGTACCGGTGAGTGGATTTATTAGCTGTGTTAACTACGGAATGAGTTTTTCATGTTTTTGGCAATGCCGAACTTGCATACGTAACGTTAACTGTAATTCGTTGTTTGGCATCGCGACTCTGTGAAGCGGCCAATCAAATGACCCATACATACTTAATTACATACGACGATTTTTCGGTGAGTTTGCCCACGGGTGATAAGTAAAGACGAGATCACCCGTGGGTTTCCAACCATGATTTAAGATATAACCATCAAAATTTCCTCTCCTTGATTCCTTTCTTTGGAGAACTATAAATTTATTTCTCTCTAAACCTATCGGTGAGTGAGAGTGTAAGTATTTGGTCACCTCTTAGATAAGCTTAGTCTGTGAGATGAAGTAACATGACTTACTACATCATGTATTCAGCAACCTTTAAGATGGCTCAGTCCCCCTCTTTTTTATAAAGATAGGCATACTGTATATTTAGCTTTAGATTTAGCCCTCGACCCCCTTTTATTAGGCATGTTAGAGTTCAGGTAGATGCACAGCAGTAGCTCTCTGCTTGAGAAAATTCAGACAGATAAAGCAGAGATCTATGGATCCAAGCGTTGTAAAAACCTTCAATTTACGCCGACGATTTTTTGTCACTCACTATGGGTATTTTTTCGTGTATTTTATACTTTCCCAAGCTTTAAAAATAATTCAAATGGTATCTAATAATTAATCATACAGTAAACTTCAGTTCCTGATCATTTACTTACCTCTCAACACTAACAAATGGCTGTTTGTGGTTACGGACGTCGAAATGGAACTCTTTTAAACCGACATTACAAAACTATATACAGGACTGTTTCGGACCGTTAAAAGGTAAACAAAGTATCAAATATAAGAGTTAAATATATGAATTATTATAGGATACCATTCTAAAAGCCAGAGAAAGCTTAAACTACACGAAATAAGTCCCTGAAGTAGCGACAAAAAATCATCCGTGTAAATCGAAGGTTTTTACAATGCATGGATCTGTAGCTCTCTGCTTTATCTATCCAAATTTTCTCAAGCAGAGAGCTACAGTTCTGCAGCTAGAGTTCAGGTAAACCAGAAGTCTCTGTCCAGACTGTAGCTCTACTGGTTTGTACTTATAACAAAGGAAGAGAAAAGAAGCCATTGCCATCAGACCAAATATGTAGGAGGTGTAGTGTTTTAAAGGAATATCACAGAAATTTCAATTTTTAATAAGTAGTTTACTTGTGTGCCAAGTAATATTGTAATCAGACCAAATCTGTAGGAGTAGCGTTATTCTCGTCAGTGACGTTATTACGTCAAACGCGCCCGACGCTTATTCCATCAAAAATGCCTGACGTCGATTTCACTTACTGTGTAAAGAAAGGTACATTAATTTCCAAATAAAAGGCATAAAAAATACGATGTTCAGTTATCTCCGGGATGCATGATCGAAGGAGAGTTGAAATTTAGATGATTCGTCAAACTGAAAGTACGGGTGCAAGATGTTTCGGGACCCCGACGTTTCGGGACCTAGGTACACGACGATTCGGGACTAGCGATAAGACGGTTCGGGACTTGCGGCAAGACGTTTCGGGACTTGGGTTAAATTTTTCGGGATTTCAATAAATACTGAAATAAATAACATATTTAGCTAAAATTATTTATTTATTTTTTAATGTATCATTAGATAAATATATGGACAGACATTAAACTTTATAAAATATTTTTTTTTATAATTTAATCGCCATAGATACGTTTTCTCTTTAATAAAAAGAATTTTTTTCGGGATCTCAACGAATTATTTTATTATGGTGATATAGCATATTATTCTAAGTACACAGAGTACGTAATATTTCAGGTTGATGATATATATTTTAAAATATTCAAGTGATCTCCAGCTACCGTCGAATATATCTTTAAAAATATGTCATTGAATTGTTAAAACAACAACTAGGACCAGGTACACATATCCCATAGGGAAGTGTTACGTACATGTATAAAGACGCCGCCGGTAATGGGGACTGAAAAGATTGTGTGGTTTCTATTGAAATTATTTTAAGAAAATAAAAATCTAAAAATATGCAAAAAAAATATCGTTTGTTTATTGGTAAATGAAATAATTACAAATCAAACAATATTTATATAATAGTAATAATTTTCCCATCATCAAAAGTTCAATAAAATATAAAGGTTTTCAAAATGTTTTGATTGATTTTCTCTATTTTTTTTCCCAAACAGTTTCAAATATTTTTTTTTTCAAAAAGTTTTAGCATAGTATCTATTGTAAGATTCCTCCCTGGAAATGTTACGAAAACATTTTTAAAGTTTCCAAAACATTGTAAATAAACATATTTTACAAATGTTGCGAGAATATTTTCCCTACATGTAGATTTTTAAAAAAT